TCATTAATATTAGCACTCAAAAAACTTTTTAACAAAGTTGACATGGAGAACTCTTATTGTATATTTAGTTTATCAGACTCCCTATTTTTCCTTAAACTTATTTCTGCTGTATTCCATATTCTCCTTTACTACAATAAAGTTTGCAACAAAAGTTACACTTGCTAATGGGAAATGAAAGTGGCTTGTTGGGCTACTAATTGTAACTAGTAGAAAATGTCAGTTTTCACTTACCACAGTCCAGGATTCCTGCTCTTTTGGCTCTAGAATTCCAGAATTAAAAATTTCTAGTAACTGTTGAAGCCCTCCAGCAGCAACAAACTGTAAACAATTGTGAGAGTAATGGTAAGAGGAAAGCAGCTACATAATGTAGTGAAGACCTGCTTTTCGATTCAGTAACTGGATGTGTGTGTATATGTAAGTAAAGTATTATATATCTTTCATTTAGGAAATTTTTGATTTAAAAAACCAATATAACTTCTCTACAGTAATAGCCTACTTTCGAGAATTTTAAAAAGATTCTTGCAAAAATCTATATACATATCTTTATATTCCATTAACCATTTAATCCCAGACACTGAGAGGTTTTAACACAGTATTCCAATGAAAGAAAAAACAAAAAGTGCTAAAAATAGGAGTACAAAGGCACTAAATAATCTCAGTTCATTACTGTGATGAGGGTAATGCGTAATTTTTAAACTATGTTTTATTTAAATGGTAAGTTAATTTAAAACAATAATTATGGTACCTACGTTTGGAAAATTATAGAGATAAATTATTTTTACCAATATACTGCCAACACATATGATCAAACCTTGCAACTCCAGGAATTTTTACTATTTTCCACTTGATCCTCACTTGAATCATCAGAATCTGGATAAAGATCACTGTAACTTCCCTGTGAGAAACAGTAAAAAATAATAAAATAAGGGAGGGTGGCAGGAGAATTAAAAGAAAACATACTCTGGAATTTTGCTCCAGAGAGAATACAGATATCTAATGATAATAATGGAAATGCTATTACCGTCGACTCTCTCCTTATTCTTCTGTTAGGTTTCCCCAGAGCTTCAATAATTTCCAGGGCATATAATAGCTTATGAGCACTCTTAATTTTGAGCAGTTCCTTCCAATTAAGTCCATCATTACTCTTAAATTAAAAAAAGAAAGACATAGGTTTCTGAAGCCAACTTGCTAAGAGAACCACCCCTCAGAAAACTTTTAAACCGACACTACATATATATTGAAATATATTCAAACAACTGATCACCAATTATACAATTGGTACTAAATTATATGCTTAAAACACCAATTATTCATTACATTTAAAAAATTAATAAACAGCAGCACAGGAGAAAAATTATAGCTGTTAATCTCCACAACAGTTGAGGTAATTCATCATCTTTTCAATGAAAAAAAAACAATGCAGCCTAGTTGAATGCATGAACTTTGAGGATATGGAAGTAGTACAGTCTATGTTTAATATCTGTAAGTGACACCTACCCATTCAAAAGTCATATATGCAAATACATAAACTTAAAAATATTGTTCTTTTCTACTCTCGATTTATGAAAGCGTTATTTACACTTAATGTGCATCCTTGACAATATTATTATTAGAGCTGCACTGAATCATCAACCACCATTTTCCAGGCCCATCTTCTTCACTTGTAAGTCATCTGAGACATAGGACCTTTTGAAATCACATAACAACATTCCAAATTACAGGTAATTATTAGCATAACATTAGGGTATTGTTTTTCCATTCGTCCTACAGGTGTTCTAATGGTATCTCCACAAAGTAATTCCTTATTATACAACTTTAAAAAATAATCTTTAATTTTAACAGATGTCTTTACAAAGATATCTAACAGTAACATGAGATCATGCCTTTATGGGAAAATTGACTAATATATATACATTAAATTTCTTTGCCTAGAATGTCTAATTTTTCCCCTAACTCTATCAGTTGACTTGTACAAGCATCTAAAACAAGCATTGAGACATTAAACTATAGTATATTTTCTCTAAATGTTACTTTCTGTTGTTGAAAACAAAGCAACACTCAGAACATGAAGTAATATAAAAAAAACTGATATACAGGTAAATTTGTTATTTTCTTAAGATAATTTAAAAAAAACTTTGCCTTATATTTAACCCATATTAGTCAACTTCACTAATAATTAAATACATCAACATTAACATGAACTGGCACTTTTTACCTATTTAAGAGCAAAATTACTGAGGCTACAGGTCCACAAGCAATCTCATACAATGCAAACTGGTACCATCCTCCAGGAGAATAAAAAGTATTGTGAACTCACCTGCTCATCTGAGATATTCTGGAATGCCATCAACATGTTAGGACATGTAGGAAGAAGCATCAGTAGCTCCCATACACGCCTAGAGAGGTTTTCTGCATGAAGATGAAGTTCTTCACATCTTAAGCTCTACACAAATAAGAACAACTGCTTATCAAGACAGTTCAGTAAAAAAAAAATCTAAACAAGTTTAATTGGCATAAAATGACTGATTATCAAATTTGACATTTTTGATCTTACTTTAAAAGTGAGAATAAACCACTTTTTATATAGTAAATACATTTATTCAATTAATTAACAGTTACATCAAAGTGGTGGTGTTTCAACTTGTTATTGATCACTTTTCTGAGGGATAAAAGTGACCTGCAGATCTGGCCACCTTCACCAGGAAACTTTCCAAACAGAAGTGAAAATGTGTTTTATAAAGTTATCCAAGTAAATTTCAGTACAACTATCTATTTCTTCTTTGCAAGTCACTATTCTAAGAACAACAAGAGACAT